TGATCACGACCCAGTGCCAATAGATCGATGACAAAGCAATAGCTGACATTGATGCGACCCAAGATTATCGATATTTTCGATACAGAAAGTACAGTGAGTGCAATACTCACACAACTGTTCGATGAGGCGCACATGTCCACTTTACCTGCACCCTACCTAGCAGTGAACTAGGGTGGGAAAGGCTTGAGCACAGAAGGACCTGCAGGCAGGGGACAATAGTGAGCTACATGTTCCAATCCGGCCAAGTGCTCATCCAGCCAGAAAGATAGTATGCAACTTGGGGCCCAATGACCAGAGGCGGGCACAGGTTGAGGCAGCCGCCAGTGGGAAGGGCGTGTTTGGACCACACTCCTGTACCCAGCAGTTATTTCAGATTCGTTCCAAGAGTTTCGGGCCAACCTCAACAGGATGGGCCCAGCTCCGACCAAACATTCATTAAACCAGCACTATGCGTATATAGTTCATTAAACCAGCACTATGCGTATATAGTTCATTAAACCAGCACTATGCGTATATAGTTCATTAAACCAGCACTATGCGTATATAGTTCATTAAACCAGCACTATACGTATATAGTTCATTAAATCAGCACTATGCGTATATAGTTCATTAAACCAGCACTATGCGTATATAGTTCATTAAACCAGCACTATGCGTATATAGTTTTAACGAGGAGGCAGGGTCTGTTTTAACCATTACATGTACACATAGGTACACATTCTTACTGGATTTCACCTCTTACATTGATCTGGAAGACAAAATGTCGATATACCGGGACATGACATCGTGTCGAATACTGCCGGTAAATCTACATTGTTAGAAGGTATAGATACTCATCACACTATCGTAATATTACCGCAACAGAATGCCCACAACAGTTTCACCCCATGCTAAATAAACAAGAATAGTATCAGTTACTTTAGGATGTGTGAAATCAGTTCGTCTCCCGTCAATGACAATATGGCATTGAGTTCGTGAAGCGCACCTACAATCCCCAGATTTCAGCAGTTGTAGGACGTCCGACGCTGTTAGCGTCAGAATAAACCCCCTACATTTACAACTCGTGCCAGTTTATTGCATATGAAGCAAGTGTTACAGATTCTTCAGTGTCAGGTTCATATAAACACACGCTTGTATTCTAAATAAAACTTGTGTCGCTTCGCACCTCTATCAACGGGTACATGTGGCTGCATCTAGATAGGACATTGTCAACAATGATCGGTTCCACACAAATTTTCCCAGTGTAAATGTATTATGGAAAGCTTCACCAAAAAACTGTTCATTGGGAGTAACTGTTCCCGAAGAAACGTAGTACAGAGGAGTGAGTATGGATTTACGCCGCTTTTAGCAATCTTCCAGCAGTATCACGGCAGAGAACACCAGAAATGGGCTTCACATATTGGATCCCTTGTGGGGAATCGAACCCAGGAACTCGGCGTGACGAGCGAACGCTTTAACCACTGGCTACCCCACCGCCCAAGCCCAAAGGAACAATTTCACTACAGGATCAGAAACTCTTCGACAACACCACCACTATAGACAAGCAGTTACTGATGGCGTCATCTCGCATCCCCAGTTGAAGGTACATAGAGGAAACCACACCACCAGATCATATTAGACATGTACTATGAAACATGTTTTTTTTTTGTATTGAAGATTGGAATCAAAATTAATATATACCACATCAGTTCAAAACGTAATATTAATGGTTAACAAATCACTGAAACAAACTCTTATCCAGTTTATAGCCCCGTGTAAGCCCCCTATGCACGACACTCAATGACTTGAATATTCCATATAGTGATGCACCAGGAGTAAATGACAAGGACAAACACGCGTGACAAAGCTGGAAGAGTCGTGGAAAGTGCGGGATGTTGGCATTTTCCTTGTATAATAGCGCTCTTCGAGGTGTTTGACCCAGGAAACTACAGGTAAGGTTCACCTGCAAGTACTGCGCCATGGTTTGAAATGTCACCCACTTGTTGAATCAACTAGTCTGACATAACTGTACCGAGTACTCCTCCCGCAGCCAAACAACCGTACATTTACACAGGCCGGGGCTGCTAGGGCATACAGTGATTATCTCCCTTGTATCGTCAACCTGCTCACAGAGAAACAACAATGGAGTGAGTGAGTGATATTTATTAAAGTTTTGAAACTTAAGAGTAATATTTTGGCGCAATTTAAATGATGACAAAATCTAGTGGCCCGACATCAGTGTACATGAACAGGTATCTGTATACAATGTTACTGCGAAAGACATTTTGAACAACACCTTACAAATCTGCAGTCAAACAACATACTATACTGTATAAGATCAGTCGGAACTATGTTTGTTTGTTGTGCAGCTATATGACATCGAATTTGGACCGGACAATCCAGTGATCGATATTGTGAGCAATGTCACACGCCGCCGAGATACGATGACACGCAGTCAACCACGTCGTCTGACAAGCCGATTCATTAGGTCGCCCCTTGCGACCAGCACAGGTTCCTGGTGCCTATTCTTACCTGGAATGTACAGGGGGCCAATGGGAACTATGACACCGTGGGTACATCACGCAGTTCGGACACCCTGTACTTGATTGTGTATCGTCACAACTTGGCCTTGGTGTGTTACTATACTTTAACACGTACAACTTGGACAAGCATTAATGACAATATACTATGTACACTATTCAACAGAAGTTAAAGAACACCCGATTTTTTCATATGACTTTAGGGGCGGTCAGGTAGCCTAGTGGTTAAAGCGTTCGCTCGTCATGCTGAAGACCCGGGTTCGATTTCTGACATGGGAACAATTTGTGAAGCCCATTTCTGCTGCCCCCACCCCCCACCCCACCCCCGTGATATTGCTTGAATATTGATAAACTATACTCACCCATATGACTTTAGTTAATCTGTCAGAACACCCGTCATATCATGACTGATTAACTATAGAAATGTGAAAAAATCGGATGTTCTTTAACTTCTTTTGAGTAGTATATTATGCAGATTGTTCAAAGTATCAAGCAAGTGTGTAAAATGATGTCACACGTTTAATGGTATTGTTGGCGTAATGCAGACGCCATTGTTGACGCCCCGTGAAGGTCCGGACAATCCAGTGAGAATAGGTCTCCAGCAACCCATGCTTGCTGTAAAAGGCGACTATGCTTGTCGTAAAAGGCGACTATGCTTGCTGTAAAAGGCGACTATGCTTGTCGTAAGAGGCGACTAAAGGGATCGGGTGGTCAGGCTCGCTGACTTGGATGATGCATGTCATCGTATCCCAATTGCGTGGATCGATGCTCATGATGTCAATCACTGGATTGTCTGGTCCATATAGCTGGATTATTGCTGAATGCGGCGTTAAACAACAAACACACCATTGTTGATGTAATACTAGATTCATGACGTAAAATACAACAGCTTGTCATTGCTGACGTAATACATGAGTCATGACGTAATATATAACAGTTTGCCAAGGCTGACGTAATACGTCATGACGTATTATATAACATTGTGTCATTGTTGACGTAATAAATGACCCATGACGTAATATATAACAGCTTATCACTTTTGACGCAGTACATGAGTCGTGACGTAATATATAACAGCATGTCATTGTTGACGCAATACATGAGTCATGGCGTAATATGTAACAGCTTGTCATTGTTGACGTTATACGTGTCATGACGTAATATATAACATCGTGTCATTGTTGACGTAATACATAAGCCATGACGTAATATATACCAGCTTGTCATTGTTGACGTTATACATGAGTCATGGTGTAATATATAATATCGTGTCATTGCTGACGTTATACATGAGACATGACGTAATATATAATATCGTGTCATTGTTGACGTTATACATGAGTCATGACGTAATATAGAACAGCTTGTCATTGTTGACGTTATACATGAGTCACGACGTAATATATAACATCGTGTCATTGTTGACGTAATACGAGTCATGACGTGATATATAATATCGTGTAATTGTGGACGTAATACATGAGTCGTGACGTAATATACAACAGCTTGTCATTGTTGACGTAATACACGAATCATGACGTAATGTATACCAGTGTAAATATTCAAAGAGGCCACATCTCCACTACAGCTGGTCATGAAGTGTTAATAATACAGGTAGTATAGCATTATTTATGTGGTAGTGATTTAAAAAACTCGTCTCTGGTTCATAACTTTCTCCCGCTCTATATCGGTAATATATACAACGATATACACTACGCCCCACCCACCCCAAACAGGCGCGTGCACGCCCACACACGCCCACATTCATAATAGTAATAATTTCGAGGCATATGACTTTGAATGGTATAAGACACCTGTGTAAATTTTATCGTGTTGTGCACGTGCGGTAAATAAACGCAGCGGTGCATGTCGGAGACCAGATGATCATTGCACGTGTCACGGGTGCTTAAATCCATGCACTCTTACATATTGCATTCAAACCTGCCTGGTACCTGCGTAAAGACACGTGTTGCTAATAAATGGTTGACTTATATGTGACAGTTGTCTGTTCATGCAGTGTAAAATGCAGCGTGTGTGATAGTAGCCCTGTATTCGTATGTCTTTGGACATTTACAAATCAGGGTATATCGATGTTCATGCAATAGAAGTTCCGTTTTATTGAAAACCGTATTGCAGTAAAGAAGCTAGCGATGGAATTGGAAAATATCACAACGTTACGTATTTATGATTTGATATTAGTATTGTGAAATTTCAGTGAAAGCGTTGTATTATATCACCATAGAGTATATAAATATATGAATCGTTTGCTGTGAATAATTAGGCTAATTTAGAATTAACAATCTGATTGTCAGTTCTGTAACTTTATACGACAGTAAAATCTAAATTCTGGTCTTACTCAAAAGAACAAGCACTTGGGAAACCCCGTGCGATTTGTCCAGATCTGAACTGATACTGAGTCTTATCCAGGCCAAGTCTCCACCTGAACATGTAAACACACTACTGACCAAGAAAGTGGGTCACAGCCTCACTTTGATTGCTTGAGCTGAGCGATATCTTCTATCCATAGCCCTTGCGGTGTACGGTACCCACGGGAGTGTCTTCGGAACATTCAAGTTTGATATGGGACTTATTTGTTTGTTGATGTTTTGCTCTTGACTCTGTGTAGAAGATTGGTTTACGGATGTGTAGCATTTGCGTGGGATAGTTATTACACAAGACCCAAGCGTTGAAAATTCAAGGTGCGTACAGGTGTGTGGTTTTGAAATTTCGGAGTGAATTTTCTATCGTAAATTAGGCCTATACCTGTTTATTTGTTTAGTTTTATAAACCTTACGTGAAATGTTATTTTGTAGAGAAAATGTGTACCGAGATCTTGATTTGTCATGTGTCACAATATCCATGCCTGTTATTATGAGTTAGGTATCAATATCATCTCTTGTCGCGTGTTTATCCTGTATCCTTTGAAGTATTCCGGGACTCGCACAGGTGCGACACAGGTAAGTCGGCTCTCACCTGACATTTGTACCACACACAGACAGATAGACAGGCAGGTGACAAGTAGTTAGTGTTAGATGTACAACAGGTAGATGGGATTGAAGAATACTATGGTCAGACACGCAAATTCAAACCTTGTTATTTTTTACAATTAACTATTTTTATTTAAATTGACCCATCTTGTCAACAGTACATGATGATTTTAATATACGACTTTCTAAATGTATGACAGTCTGCAATGTAAAAAGACAGAGAAAATAATTGTTCTCATTGATAAACATTTCTGTGCTCAGACAAAGAATTGCTGTAATCATGGAACACATAAACAAATAAACAAATAGAGGTACCCAGGTTGTTGTCAACATTGATTATTGATTGTTTAACTTCGGGAACTAAGATCAATAGTCACAAGGCATGTTCAGGTAAATTATTAAACACTTTCAGAACAACTACTCAGAATTATTTAGCAAAGAAAACACACCATTTTATTTTTTATAGATGTCTTGATGACAGAAACTGTCATGAGATTTACATCAAGAAAATCTTAAATGAAGTTTATATAGGTGTTCAGGACTTTTGATTTTAAATTAGATTTTAACATTTGCATGAGAGCATCACAGTGTCTTTATTGGTATAAATATGTACCATGATGTGAGAAAATTAACAGTGTACATATTCAATGTTTCAATCAGTTTGCAATCCAGTATGGATCGAGTGATACTATTGACGTTTTGTTCTGATGATTGAACTGGTTGATCAATGATCGTGTATGATGTTTGATGATTTCAATGTTTAATACTACCTAGATTTGATTTGACACAATTTCTTCAAATTCTGTTTTTTGTTTTTGTAAGTGAACTCTTTGTTATCTTTAACTGAAATTAAATACAAATGATAAAATCAATATGGTATGTTTGACATCAGTGAAGTGATTATGTGAAACATTTATCAAATTTCAAAGTTTTGAAACCTTAGACTCATCATGTCCTAACAGGTCAGAGGTCAGTTGAAGGTGAAGGTTAGTCTTTAGAGCCATTAAGACTAGCACTAATTGTCCATGTCTCCTTCAGGCTCCTTGAGTGTTAGATTAACAGGTCAAGGTAACTTCTTGCTTGAACAAGAATACAAATACAACACTCCAGACAATATTTGTGTTTCATGCATCCAGTCCTCTCCACGTATTAGTTAGCAAACCATTACCAACGTGGTCTTAACCATACGAGGGCAGTGCACATCTGAACATGGAGTTGCCCGCTTACAAAGATTACTGCATTTACAGAATATGTGAAATTGCAGTGAAATCTACATGATCTAGACTCAGTAATCTAGCCACACCTGAGATAACGAGAACTGCAGGTGTTAACTGCATCATCTTAGATGGGTTGAGGTGAAATGTGGTTTAACGTCACGTTCAGGATTATTGCACTTATATAGTGATGTACATGTGTGTGTGTGTGTGTGTGTGTGTGTGTGTGTGGCTGCTTGTACTAGTCCAGACTACCGGTAATCCAGTTTTGTAGCACAAGCCCACAGAGATACCATGCTGCAGTTTAACATGGATACCCCACTCTGACACAGTGTACTGACTCTGAGCCGACCAGTCCTTGTTTTAGCCCACAGAGATACCATGCTGCAGTTTAACATGGATACCCCACTGACACAGTGTACTGACTTCGAGCCGACCAGTCCTTGTTTTAGCCCACAGAGATACCATGCTGCAGTTTAACATGGATACCCCACTGACACAGTGTACTGACTTCGAGCCGACCAGTCCTTGTTTTAGCCCACAGAGATACCATGCTGCAGTTTAACATGGATACCCCACTGACACAGTGTACTGACTTCGAGCTGACCAGTCCTTGTTTTGGCCCACAGAGATACCATGCTGCAGTTTAACATGGATACCCCACTCTGACACAGTGTACTGACTTCAAGCCGACCAGTCCTTGTTTTAGCCCACTGAGATACCATGCTGCAGTTTAACATGGATACCCCACTGACACAGTGTACTGACTCCGAGCCAACCAGTCCTTGTTTTAGCCCACTGAGATACCATGCTGCAGTTTAACATGGATACCCCACTCTGACACAGTGTACTGACTCAAAGCCGACCAGTCCTTGTTTTAGCCCACTGAGATACCATGCTGCAGTTTAACATGGATACCCCACACTGACACAGTGTACTGACTCCGAGCCGACCAGTCCTTGTTTTAGCCCACTGAGATACCATGCTGCAGTTTAACATGGATACCCCACTCTGACACAGTGTACTGACTCAAAGCCGACCAGTCCTTGTTTTAGCCCACTGAGATACCATGCTGCAGTTTAACATGGATACCCCACTGACACAGTGTACTGACTTTTGAGCCGACCAGTCCTTGTTTTAGCCCACTGAGATACCATGCTGCAGTTTAACATGGATACTCCACTCTGACACGGTGTACTGACTTCGAGCCGACCAGTCCTTACTTTATCCCCCTAAATGATAAGCGCCAGACAGGGTAACAAGTACCATCCTGTGATGTCTTTTGGTATGATGCAGTCGGGGATCGAATCCCCAACCCTCTGGTCTCCAGGCAGATACTATATCTGCTAGACCATGGAGGCGGCCTTATTATATGATAGGAAGGTTGAAACTGACAAGCATACATTCCTGCCTTTTGTAATCAACATGAATTTAATACACATACAGTGAAACAGTTTGGCGTGCGTGCATATTTCTGTTTTAAAGTAGAATTATTTATCTAATGGTGAATAATTTCTTTAAATTCATTTCATTTCTTGCTTCAAATAACTGCACAGCCTTCATGTAAATTCTAGCCATGAGTAAAGGTCACTCAGGTCCAACAACTCTCTCTCTCTCTCAACATCCAGGCCTACACACTGTGAAGTCACTCAAGTTGAAATTAGAAACAGTATCGTAGGCCATTATGTTGAAGCTTTGAATTCCATTTGTTTAGTCCAACCCATACTGCAACTGCTGGTATTGTGTTTCTGCTGTGCTGAACTCTGCTGTCTCGGTCAACAGTGCAGAAACACATATGGATATGAGAAACACATATGGCTATGAAATGGGAGGATTTCCGTGCATCTGGAAATGAAGAGCAGGAGTGACTTTATTTTCCTGAAATTTCTGATTGTTTTCTTCATGTAGTGAAAGTATAACCAGCACCGATGAAAATATGTTCAAAGTGAAGAGAAATAATACAATCTGACATAGTTGTATCACCTACCGTATATGCCAGCAGTGCTGAACACTGTAAGACAGGGTAATATAACAGTTATGTTATTTTTCAGGGCGATATCATTTGCAGAAGCCTGAGGTCTGCAGGTCTGCCATGAACTGCCAGATGAAGGCGGCAGTTAACCAGGCCCGGGGCTTCTGCTAATGACAATGCCCTGAAACATACTGTTACGGTAGTTATAGATCAAATGGATAAGAGTTGAACCTTATCCCCAAACAACAAACGGCAGCATAAATTTTGTGGTTATATTGAAAACTTCACAACAGAGGCCTTTGATTTCCAAAATAATGTAATAGAACAATAATGGATGATGTCACAAACAAGACACATGCTTATTTTGACGTCACATTACAATACAATAGATAGCACCCAGGGAAATGTGGGCTGCTATCAAGTCACAGTGACCCACATACTTCTGATAGCATGCTGTCATTTTGATGATATTTCTGTCCATTTTAGTTATGTTATGTTGAGTAGATGAGGTGTTAGTCCTTGGTAGCACCCATCTGGAGATGGTTAGTCCTTGGTAGCACCCACCTGGAGATGGTAAGTCCTTGGTAGCACCCACCTGGAGATGGTTAGTCCTTGGTAGCACCCACCTTGAGATGGTTAGTCCTTGGTACCACCCATCTGGAGATGGTTAGTCCTTGGTAGCAGTCACCTGGAGATGGTTAATCCATGGTAGCACCCATCTGTAGATGGTTAGTCCTTGGTAGCACCCACCTTGAGATGGTTAGTCCTTGGTAGCAGCCACCTTGAGATGGTTAGTCCTTGGTAGCAGCCACCTGGAGATGGTTAGTCCTTGGTAGCACCCACCTGGAGATGGTAAGTCCTTGGTAGCACCCACCTGGAGATGGTTAGTCCTTGGTAGCACCCACCTGGAGATGGTAAGTCCTTGGTAGCACCCACCTGGAGATGGTTAGTCCTTGGTAGCACCCACCTGGAGATGGTAAGTCCTTGGTAGCACCCACCTGGAGATGGTAAGTCCTTGGTAGCACCCACCTGGAGATGGTAAGTCCTTGGTAGCATCCACCTGGAGATGGTTAGTCCTTGGTACCACCCATCTGGAGATGGTTAGTCCTTGGTAGCAGTCACCTTGAGATGGTTAATCCATGGTAGCACCCATCTGGAGATGGTTAGTCCTTGGTACCACCCATTTGGAGATGGTAAGTCCTTGGTAGAACCCACCTGGAGATGGTTAGTCCTTGGTAGCACCCACCTGGAGATCGTTAGTCCTTGGTAGCACCCACCTGGAGATGGTTAGTCCTTAGTAGCACCCACCTTGAGATGGTTAGTCCTTGGTAGCACCCACCTGGAGATGGTTAGTCCTTGGTAGCACCCACCTGGAGATGGTTAATCCTTGGTAGCAGCCACCTGGAGATGGTTAGTCCTTGGTAGCACCCACCTTGGGATGGTAAGTCCTTGGTAGAACCCACCTTGAGATGGTTAGTCCTTGGTAGCACCCACCTGGAGGAGGGAGAGATGTTACTCTTTAGTAGCAGCCGCCTG